AATTTGGACAACATTGAAGGTGACGGACCGTATGACGGACCCGAAAAGGGATCCCGATGGACCCTGTACTTTGATGGTGCTTCAAATGCACTTGGAAATGGTATTGGCGTAGTACTCATTTCTCCGGAAGGCTGTCACACACCTTTCACGGCCCGACTTTGCTTCAGCTGCACAAACAACATGGCTGAGTATGAAGCTTGCATCTTTGGTCTCAAGGCTGCTATAGACTTGGGGATCAAATCTTTGATCGTATTTGGGGACTCGGCTTTGGTTATCAGCCAAATCAAAGGAGAGTGGGATACCAAGCATCCTAATCTTATCCCATACAAAGAGCATGTCATGACATTGTTGCCTCATTTCGAGCAAATTACCTTCGAGCATTTCCCGCGAGAAGAGAATCAACTAGCAGATGCTCTAGCCACGATGTCCTCCATGTTTAAACTCAACTGGGATAACGAGGCTCCCCAAATCACCATCAAGCGAATGGATGAACATGTGCATTGTCATGAGATTAATACCGAAGAAGTAGTGGAACAACCCTGGTTCCATGAAATCAAAAGGTATCTCGAGACTAGAGATTATCCCGAAGGAGCTTCCGTAAATGACAAGAAGTTCTTAAGGAAATTTTCCGCTAAGTTCTTCCTGAGCAACGGCATCCTTTACAAACGAAGCCATGATTGTGTGTTACTCCGATGCGTAGACAAAGCTGAAGCAGAGTTGATCATGACTGAGATACACAGCGGCACGTTTGGCACTCACTTAAGCGGGCATACAATGGCTAAGAAGATCCTAAGGGAAGGCTATTACTGGGCTACCATGGAAGCTGACTGCCATCAACATTCCCGTACTTGCCACAAATGCCAGGTCTATGCTGACAAAGTTCATATCCCTCCGGTTCCTCTCAACGTTCTGACTGCTCCTTGGCCATTTGCAATGTGGGGCATTGACATGATTGGAGAGATCAAGCCCACAACTTCCAACGGACATCGCTTTATCCTGGTTGCCATTGACTATTTCACCAAATGGGTCGAAGCAGCTTCCTTCGCCTCTGTTACTAAAAATGTGGTTGCCCGCTTTATCAAGCAGAATCTCATATGTCGGTATGGTGTTCCGGACAGGATCATCACAGACAACGGTACAAATCTAAATAACACGATGATCACCGCCTTGTGCGAACAGTTCAAGATTTATCATCACAATTCATCTCCCTATCGGCCGAAGATGAACGGTGCTGTTGAAGCTGCGAACAAAAACATTAAGAAGATCATTCAGAAAATGACGGTCACTTACAAAGACTGGCATGAGATGTTACCGTTTGCTCTGCATGGATACCGTACGACGACACGTACTTCAACTGGGGCAACCCCATTTTCTTTGGTTTATGGCATGGAAGCTGTTTTGCCTATGGAAGTCCAGATTCCTTCTCTAAGGATTATGAAGGATGCAGGTTTGAATGAAGATGATTGGATGCAAACCCGACTTGATCAACTCAATCTGATTGACGAAAAGCGACTCGCTGCTATATGCCATGGTCAAGCGTATCAAAAACGGATGATCAAGGCCTTCAATAAGAATGTCAGACGTCAAGTGTATCAAGTTGGAGATCTCGTAATCAAGCGGATTATCTTACCGCAAAGTGATCCCAGGGGCAAATGGACTCCTACATATGAAGGACCATTTGTGATCAAGAGCATATTTTCTGGTGGTGCAATGATTTTGACCACCATGGACGGTGACAATTTGCCGCACCCTGCGAACGCAGACATAGTCAAAAGATAATACGCATAAAATAACCCGACAAGTCGAAAACCCGAAAGGGCGGCTTGGGCAAAAATGGGCATCCCGGTGAACCGAAAACCCGAAAGGGCGGTTCAGGCAAAAATTAGGGATAAAAACAAAAAAATATGTACACCTGGCAAGTCGAAAACCCGAAAGGGCGGCTTGGGCAAAAAGGGGTTTCCCGGTGGATCGAAAACCCGAAAGGGCGGTTCAGGCAAAAGTTAGGGAATGAAAGCGTATGACTATGACTCGTCGGATCACTTCAAAGACAATCTCTTCATCAACCAGTTCCAGGCTTCTGATCAATCCAGTCATCGGCAAACGAAGCATTGAATGGACAGATATTCAGAGTTGTGAAAGCTATAGCGGAATGGAATCCCATGGAATTATTTCACATAGCCATCCTTTATTTTGAATAAAATCTTTCAATATTTATGACAAAATCCTCTTACTAGGATGATTGTCTCCTTTGTACAAATATACTCATAGAAAGTCAATACAAATACTTTTCCCAGAAATTTGTGCCTTTTCCTTTCACTTTTTCTCTTGCACTATCTGTTTTATTTTGAGAAACGTCCAATGTCTTGTTAAATAGGCATATGCATTTGAACATGATCATTTCCTTATGAATCAAGAAAGAGGATTACTGATAGGTTGAAGATACCGTTGGATATCCTGATACCCTTTCAAAGGAAGCCCCCAGGAGATTTGGAATCCATATCCCCAGCAAGGCTTGAAGCTTATCCCCAGTAGATTCTGGAAGCTTATCCCCTGCAGAGCACAGACGCCTCCCCCGAGTTTTTATTCAAAGTCATTCCTCACAAGGGCTTATAACTGGGTTATCCTCAGCTAACAACCACGGAAGATCGCACTCGCCAAAATTCTTCCTATCCCCAGCGGAGTTCATCAAAGTTCCCCAGCAGTAACTTGTCTTTACAATCCCCCAGCCAGAGGATCCTCAGGAATTCAATTCCCCTCAGAGTTTAAGTTTCAGTATCCCCAGCGAAGCCAGACTAACGAACCTTATCCCCACAGAGTTTTAGGAGAGCAAATCTTAGGTTCCCCAGTGAAGTCGCCAGAAATGCTTCCCGCCAAACTGAAGATTCTCAGTCTTGCATCCCCAACATGAGTCTATTGGATCGAAGCTCCCCAGTAGAAGTCATCAGGAACTCTCTTCCCCAGCAACAGCCAAGGAATTATTCTTCCCGGCAGCATTCAAGATACTTTTATCTTCAGCCATCTCAGATTCATCTATCCTTTGCAAGACAGCCCTCCAGCTTACATGCACGTCCATTTACATTCATATCATACATTGCATCATGCATCATGACATTGCATATAACTAACCCTTTACCTTTTCAGGTAAGATCAGTCGACAGACAAAAATCATTATCTCCCGAAATTCTTTCCAGGAATATTTCAGATCTGACCCAGACATGGCAACATTCTAATGCTTTTCCCAGATTTATCCAGATGCAGTTCTACGCGAGCTCATCATCAGGGAACCCTACACCGGTTCTTCTTCCAAATTCAAGACTTCTGAAAACAGTTTATGGATTCTTCCCAACAACGGATGCTAATCTACCAACTTGTTCAGATGCAACCTTTGAAAACAGTTTACGGACGCTTCCCAACAACGGATGCTGCTCCATTGCTTATTCAACCTCAAGACTTCTGAAAACAGTTTATGGATTCTTCCCAACAACGGATGTTAATCTATCGCTTGTTCAGATGCAACCTTTGAAAACAGTTTACGGACGCTTCCCAAGAACGGATGCTGCTCTATTGCTTATTCAACCTCAAGACTTCTGAAAACAGTTTAGGGATTCTTCCTAACAACGGATGCTAATCTACCAACTTGTTCAGATGCAACCTTTGAAAACAGTTTACGGACGCTTCCCAACAACGGATGCTGCTCTATTGCTTATTCAACCTCAAGACTTCTGAAAACAGTTTATGGATTCTTCCCAACAACGGATGTTAATCTATCGCTTGTTCAGATGCAACTTTTGAGAACAGTTTACAGATTCTTCCCAACAACGGATGTCAATCTATTGCTTATTCAAGCCCCAGTCCAGAGATGGTTCAAACCAGGGACACCTTTCTGATCTTCATTCCAGATGGCATCTTTAAGCCCATCCCCGACGAGATTCTGTCACCCTTCCAGATGGCATCTTTAAGCCCATCTCCAAATGGCATCTTTAAGCCCATTTCCGCATCCATTGCTTTGACGAGTGCAAATTTAAGGGCACTCTAGTGTCCAATCTCCTTTTACCTTCGAGTCACGAAAGGCAAGATTGCCAATCTAACTCTTCAGGTTCAAGAAGATTGAACAGGGGCAACTGTTGTACCCCAAAATTTTCCCTCCCTTTCTTCAGGAAACCATCTTGGATTTTCAAGGTCCCTCTGAAACAAATCCAAGTCCTGAGTTATCCTTTTGCCCAAGCAAGCCACTTACAAGAGAAAGATGATCTCACGAACTCCAAAAACAACGCTTTTATCTTGAGAAAAATCAAATTCTAAAGTACTTAGAACGTTTCTCTAAAATGAGTGTTTAAGAAAAAAAATCAGCGCTTCAGAACTTCTGGACCCATTCCAGATAAAAACGGTCAGAAGTTGCAAGCTTGGCTCAGCGTGGTCAGAAGTTGGCTTTTCAGCAGCTACATCAGTTCAATCAGAAGTTGTAAACATGGTTCAGTATGTAAGCCTCAAACAGAACATGCCCCTTCAGCAGTTACACAAGCTCAATCAGAATTTGCTAAAGGAATGCAAGAGAAGCAGGGAAGTCTGAAGGCTCCTTCAGAACAGGTTGAAATCAGAAGATGAAAGATCAGAAGAGTGGGTGTTACACTGATATAGAATCTCTAAGCCCAGGAGGTCCAGAAGTAAATCCAAGGAACGTACCAGAAAACCAGGAGAATCTCCAGAGCTTACTAAGACAACAGGAAGCCAAGGCCAGAGCATGGTTTACGCTGCTGATTCAACGTTGGTTTCCATTACCAGAATATGAATGCTGATAGGTCTTATCACCATTTAATGCCCATTAATGCTTCCAACCACTCCTGAACATTCACGTGTGGCTTGGAAAACGCTTTTGTGCAGATTCTGGCATAGGTCTACGCGCCACCGCCCACTTCAGAGGTCACTTCTCCCCAATCTACGCCTGCTGCTGCAGCCTAGGCTGAAAGCTATCTGTTATCACAACTTCCCAGGAATTTCTGTCAAAGAACAAATTCAAACTCTGTTGGCGCTTTAATGTTCAAGGCATCCACAAGAACTTTTCCTATAAATAGAGAGTCTTCACCACTGCAAAAGGCGTTCAAGAAAAGAAACAGAAATTTCTAAGTAAGAAACAGAACTCTTAGCAACATAGCGTTCTGAAACTCTGCCAAAATCTCCAGTTTTGTTTAATAACTTTGAGTTTCTCACCTTCAAACTTCATCAAATATCCAGTTTTCTCTGTGAACCAAAAACACCCTTTCCAAACTTCTGACCCTACATACGTATACGCCTTTACCAGCCCTTTCAAAGAAAATCTGTCCAGAACACTACCAGAGCCAAAAGCTAACTTCCACCCACCAACTTTTCCAACAGTCAAGTAAGCACCTTCTGACCCTCATCACGCTGTTAAGCATCATCAGTTGTGCATACTCAAATGAACATAATGTAAATATCATGTTGTTGTTGTTTATGTTCTGAGGATTTTCATACCTCAGAACATTCTGAGCCAGTATAGGACTTGCCTGTGACCTTGGTGGTTCTGACCTCTGAAACATTTTTGTATTTGCTGGATCTGTTCCAAATATGTTTCCTGTTTTGTGGAGTAACAACAGAATTGCAGATGTTCTGATTAGTACAGGGAAAAGCCAAGTGCTGACTTTGACGTTAGCACATCTGAAGCCTGTTTTGCTGTCAATGATATCAGAACCTCTGAGAGTTATTGCCTTTTCAGCAGAATCAGAACTTCTGGTTTCTCCACTAACAAACTTCTGTCTTGCAGCGCAGGGGAATCAGAACTTCTGATTTCCCCACTAACAAGGTTCTGTTTTGCAGGTGCCAGAGTCAGAAGTTCTGACTCATACAGTTTAACCAAGAGGTTGATCATCTGGCAGCGGATCTGAGTCAGAACTTCTGATGACCTCCCAGCAGCGCGCGGGCTCCCTCTCTCTCTCTATATATATCTTGTTTTTTGCTATTTTCTTTTTTGTCTATTTTTCTCGTTGAACCCCCCATGTACAAATGTGTATCCCCCTCCCCTAATTGTTGTAATAGCGTAGGATTTTATATTTCCGCTTCTTATTACTAGTAATTAGGACATGTATGGCAAGATAAAATCAATGAAATAGAAAAACCTAATTCAAAGAAAAAAACTCTTGTATGCAATAAAACACACTCGCACACTAACACCCCTAGGGTTACATCCACTTGTTGCCTTTCAAAATTAGGCCATATTGCATGTTAGGTCTCTTTGGGCAAAGCAAAAAATCAAATGATCATAGTCCCTCGATGACGCTTTCGAAAGTTGCCTAAAATGATCAAAGTCTGTTATACCCCAAAATTTGCCCTCCCATATTCTTCAAGAAATTGCCAAGCCAAGTCACAAAATTCCCCAAGGGTTGCACAGTCCATCTGTCTCCTATACAGTCAAAACTAGGGTTTGTGTTCTGACCAAGAAAAGGCAGTGTTCAAAGGCTCAATCAAGTCTCATATGCTTACAAACATGGTCAAGTATCCTCATGTCAAGTTTCAAGGCATTCAGCTCAAAATTGCACAGTCAAAACCCTAAATTGCACTACAGTCAACTGTAGGGGCAAAATGGTCATTTGACAGTCAAAAGTTCAAATTTTTGGTCAACATATCATTTTGAAGCCACAAACATCATTTGATCAATGCTTGATCATGATTCTCAAAATTTGGCTCAGAAAATTATCAAGATGCAAAAGTTTCCTTATTTGGACAGCTGAAAAAGTCAACTGAAATTGACCAGGGCATAACTTTCACATGGATTATCAGAAAAATGCCATCCAAAGCTCATTTTGAAGAGAAAGACATTTCCTACAACTCATATTCATACTTCAAATCCAAGAAATGCTCTCACAAAAAGTTATCAATTTCAACATTATAGGTCATTTTCAAAAGTCAACAAAAAGGGACTTTAAGTCAAAAGCCATAACTTGAGATTGGAAAATCAAAATGACATGGGACCAAAGGCATTGGTTAAAGGACTCAAAGACCTTTCCAAAATGTCCAAGAACATGAGAAAAGCTTAAAAATTGAGCAAGTTATGCATTGGAGAAGTTGGGAAATTTTTGTGAAATGGCAAAAGTCAACTATCTTTGAAACTTCAATTTTTGACAAAAGGGCCCACTTTCTTCCACTTGATTCAGCCTTGTCATGCCACACACGTGTCCCATGATTAATTTCAAGATCAAATATTGATTTTTCTTTTTTATTTAATTTTTGATAATTTAATTCATTTTAAATCTTTAAAAATTCAAATAAAATTTAAAAATCAATGGAATAGTGGCATTTGAATTTGGATAGCTTCCATATATCATGTGCCAGCTCACAAACTCATGCTAGGGTTAGATTGTACACCAAGTCTTGGTTTTGCTTAAAAAAGGGAAAGTTGGTTAATGGTGAAAAACCTAGGACTAGTTCTCTCATGGGCATGGATCAAGGCCAGCTAATGACCTAATTCCCTTCCCTCATAAGTGCTGAGTAAAACCCTAATCAGAGGACACTAAAGAGAGGCGCTAGACACACCATTGCCAACTGGGAAAAATTGCCATAAAGTTCAAAACTGAAATCAGTATTCTAGGTGGATTCAAGTCCTAATATTGATTCCAAAAGCTTCCTTGTGGTTCACTGATCATATTCCAATTCATAACACTCATCAAAAGGCAAGGAATCAGTGTACAGAACTCAGCATATGTCGTGAAAAACTCACAATCGTATTCTTAAATTTAAGCATTTTCATAACATTTTCTGCATGGATTCTTATTCCTCCTGCAATTCTAAAGATAACTGATCCATTTAATTGCGTTTTCCTGTGTTATGTACAAAGATGCCATTGTAGCTTTTTAGGGTTTGCAGGTTTTCGAATTAGGGCTTTTCATCCAAGGCAAAATTAGGACTCGTGAGTAATATCATTGGCATGAGCGTGTTCAGACGAAGAAGAATCCATCCTCGCGCCTAATTTATGTTTAGAGACGGCGTAATCGCTATTTTCTATAAACCGGCCTAAGAGAACACACATAAAACCGTGGCCTTTGTTTTTGATATTTGCAGGAACAGAGAAGAAGACCTCGTGGCCAACAACCCTTGGTTCTTTTTGAATTGCGCGCGTTTTTCAGATAACTAACCAATTTTCTTTTATATTGATTAGTAGCTATTATATATTAAAAGTAATTGAAGTGGTTCAGTGGCGCGGGAAGTGATCAGTAATGCTAGTGACCTGGGTTCGAGTCCCAGGTCTGTACAATATTTCATGTTATTTTTCAATTCCAACTCCTATGCAGCGCCAGTGATAATACACACCATACATCCTCAAAGATCAACCAGCCACGCGTCCTGGAGATCAAATCAAGGGCATAGATCAGAGGTGTACCATAAGCCTTAGTCCAAGGTCCCACACGTAGCCTGGAAAAGTCAACGAATCTCAAGCTTATTGGGCCCAAATTACTGGATCCATACCTCACAATTGGGGCCTGAACCCCCCCCCCTGGTTTGCCTTCTCCATATTTTTCTTATTTTATTTTTAATTGCTATTATATTTTCTTTTTTTGCTTTAATTGATTGTTTTTTTACCAAATACAAAAAATACCTTAAAAAACTCAGAAAAGGATAAAAAATATAATGATTATTTATTTTGATATTTTCTTGTAAATAAATTAACATGTAATAAATATTAGTTTAATTAGGTTTATCTTAATTCTTTTCATAATAAAACATAAAAAAATATAGAATTTAGGCTTAATTTTTATCCTTTTTTTAATTTTTCCTTTTATCATAATATTATCTATTTATTTATTTTTATAATTAAATTGTACATAAAAATTAGGGTTTCATTTAGTTAAAAATTTCAACATTTTCTTAATAACTAAAATCCAAAAATATAGCATTAGGTTTAATAACTTTTATTCCTTTTAATTTTCCTTTTATTTTGCCACAATATTAGTGATTTATTTATTTTTCCTTTTTTTTTTGCCACAATATTAGTGATTTATTTATTTTCATAATTAAACTTGTAAACTAATTAGGGTTGCATTTAGGTTAAATTTTAATACTTTCATAATAAACTTAAAAATAATTAGAACTAGGTTTAACATTTCATTTTGGTTTTTAATTAATTCTTTTTTATTAAATCTCAAAAAACACAAAAATACTAAAAAACATTTTCTTTTAATTCTTAATTTTAATTCCTTATTAATAATATTTTGCAAAAGGGTCCAACGCCCTCGTTCGTAATTTATTTTATTCGCACATTTCTTTTATTTCGCTTAATTCATTATGTATCTCTCCCGAAGCATTGTAACTTAAACTTCTCGCACCGTTATTTTCTTTATTTATTTTCCGTCAAATCGGGTCCGGTTTAATTTCGGCGATGTGGACCCGCGCCATTTGTAATAGCTTAGATTTATTTTTCCCGCAAACTTTTAACTGTTAACCAAGCATGAAAGAATGAATGACAAAAATAAAATCAAGCGTAGATCACAATGAACATGACAAGACAAATACAAATGAAAATGACACACAATTCGCACACACCACCCCTAGGGTACGCCTCACTGTTGCCTTGCCCTCGAAAGGTGATCGTCGAGTAGAGGATGTCTTAGTAAGTCCTCATGATCCGGGAACCTGGCATGAGGGTAGCTTCTAAGGTGTCTTCCCATTGCTCCGGTGATCACCATGTCCCTACAAACTCGAATTGACCCGAATACCTCCAACGGTGGTGCTACCTACCTCTCAATGGTGGGATGGCACTACTCTAAAGGACATTTACACAGACGAATTCCTTAGGGTAGGTAGACGACTCATGGATACTTGCTCTCTTCAAAACAAACTGAAATCTTTTCACACCAACACTTTTCAAAAGCTTTCAAAGCAAATTTTTCAAACACTCTGACGTACGAGTCAAACTGAAATTTTTCAAAGAAACTTTGTTAACCCACAATTGAAAAGCAAACAAACATTTTTGAAAACACAATGAGCAAGTATCTAAGAGCCCATGGATAACCATGGATAGAAAGGGTGCTAACACCTTCCCTTTCTATAACCTACCTCCCGAACCGAGAGCAATCTCTTTTAAGGAATTTTTCTGTGCTTTTGTCCTTTCCATTTGGAGAAAATAAAAGACGGTGGCGACTCTTGCTTCCGCGACATTTCGCGAGCCAGCTTTAAAACAGTCAGTTCCAGATCCACCGATCACAGAACTGGCGACTCTGCTGGGGACTAAAACTTAAAGTGAGGTGTACCTTAGGGTTAGTTCATAACTGTGTTTTCAATTGTATTGACTTGCTTGCTTTAAATTGTGGGACTGTCTTGGGAGTTCTATAGATCCTAACCCGGATCTGGGGATACCTTTCTTAGAAAGTAGCAACAAGGCTGTGAGGGAACTGTGCGGGGTATACCGACATGGTTGAAGCAGTCTGCTACGTTGATGTGGCACTTTGGTGTGTACCGGTAACCCTTGAGTTCAGTCAAGGAGAGTATGGGGCCTCCGCGTGGTGTCGTGAAGCATCAACAGACCTTAGGAACCTTAATTGAACCATCTTGACCTCTTTAGGGTAGTGAGATAACTGACTTTGGTGCAGTCCGAGGTTGGTTGATACTCGATACTACACTCAATTGAGGGTTGCTTTCCTGGAATATTTCGGTCGCCAGTTCAGTGGCTAAATCGAAACGATGAACAATGAAAGCAATCCCGTGATATTGGGACCCTTAGAACCCGGTTACTTTGATTAGGACAGGTTGAACCCACCAACTTCAAGAGGGTAATACCTAGACCCCATGCTGGCTTAAACCCTAAGGGTTTCTCTTGTGTGACTTGTGTGCCTTTGTACTTGCCTACTTGCATGCTTGTTAGCTGACACATGAACTACTTGCAGGTTTTGTTTATAGTCCTTAACTAGGACTCATGACAAGGTTAACCAAATTTCTTGCAGGTTTTGTTTATAGTCCTTAACTGGGACTCATAACAGGGTTACTAGATCTCTTGCAGGTTTTGTTTATAGTCCTTAATTGGGACTCATAACAAAGTATACTGAATTTCTTGCAGGGTCTGTTTATAGTCCTTAATTGGGACTCATAACATGGTTTACCTACATCACCCCATGCATAGCATGACATCATACCATTGCATACATCCTAACCCATTTCAAGGATCTCAAGGGCTTGTGATACAGGTCGTGATGAATCAAACATCTAGCAAGGGGCAAAGAAGATTTATTTTCCTCTAGCCAAGGTTGTCAGGGGCTATGACCCACTGGATATGGTGAGCCTTTGACCCTTGAAGAAGGGCTCTCTACAACAGGAAGTTCCTTCAATCAAGTTGCCAGTTTCCAACTCTAACAAATTTCTCTGTTTACCCTGCGAGGTCCTTGAAATCATTGCATGCATGTCATACATCTCATTGCATTGCAGGTGTCCCCTTGGACAGGTTGCTTACCCTTCTTCGCTGTTTATTTCAGCCGATCGTCATGAATCCTGAATCATCAGCTGAGCAGTCCATCAAGGCCCTCCAGGCTCAGAACGCCCAGTTCCAAGAGTTGATCATGAACTTGACCCAGGGGCAACAAGATCTGAAGGCTCTGCTCTTGAAGAAAGAAAAGAAGAAGAGGAGGACTGTTTTGTTCAGCCCTAGACGCAGATCTGGGAACACCCTGCAGGATCAAGCTGAGAGGACAACTCCATCTGTGGGGAAAGGCAGTCATCAAGAGGAAAGGGTTCTCAGTCCAGTGGTCTCTGACAATGAGACAGATTTCAACGACGAACAGTACCCTCCGGCTGAGGACAAGTACAAACAGTTGGAGGATAGGCTGAATGCTATGGAGATCCAACAGGTACCGGGGCTGGATTTTGGAGATCTGGGTTTGTCAACTGGTGTGGTTATTCCTCGGAAATTTAAAGCACCATCCTTTACCAAGTATGACGGGGCGTCGTGTCCCAAGTTACATCTCAGGTCCTATGTTCGGAAGATTCAACCATATACGGTGGACAAGAACCTGTGGATCCACTTCTTCCAGGAGAGTCTTTCAGGGACTCATCTCGAATGGTTCTATCAACTAGATGGGACCAAGGTTCGTAACTGGGAGGAGTTGGCTACTGCTTTCTACAAGCAGTATCAGTATAATGCCGACCTTGCTCCTACGCGTACCCAACTCCAGGGTATGTCGTTAGGATCAAGTGAAGGTTTTAAAGAATATGCGCAGAAATGGAGGGATCTTGCTGGAAGGGTACAACCACCTCTGACTGATCGGGAACTTGTCGATATGTTCTTGGGGACCCTGTCTGGTCCGTTCTACAACCACCTAATTGGGAATTCGTCTGCTGGATTCACAGATCTTATCTTGACTGGAGAGCGAATAGAAGCTGGCATCCGATCTGGGAAAATTCAAGAGGCTGCACCCTCTGATAAAAAGCCTCATCATGGAAAGAAAGAATCCAATGCTGTGCACGGTAAAAAGAGCCGTCATGAGGCAGGGGCAATCCAGATCTCCAATCCTGGACCTGCTCAACAAGGACAGGGGCAGCAGCGCAAGGAGAAACGACAGTGTACCAAACTCAACATGTCGTTGGATCAAGCACTGCAACAAATGTTGAAAGCAAGACTGATCACCTTAAGGGCTCCTCTTCGGAATCCGAACACTTCTGCTCCCAACTATCATCCCAACGATAGGTGCGCATATCATTCAGATAGCCCGGGGCATACTACAGACAACTGCTGGCCTCTCAAGAACAAGATCCAAGATATGATTGACGCCGGAGAGATTCAGTTTGAAGTGCTAGAGACTCCGAACATAATCACTGCTCCGTTACCCAATCGTTGAAGACCTTTTGTTTATTTGAATTTTTGAGTTGTATTTTTCTTTGCTTATACAAACAATTAATGTCATAGCAAACCCTTTTATTCTATCAATGCATCGCATATGTCTGTTTTGGGAATTAATACAATTATTTTCACTATGTTCAAATTTCTTTTCATATTTTTCTGATGATCAACTCTTGGTTAATAATTCTGAGCCTCTTGAGGGAGGATGACGAAAACGATACCATAATCTACAGTATGCTTTTGAACAGACCCCGCTTGATGAGGTACAGGCATTGTTTCAATTCCCAAACACTGGAGTAATAAGGATGATAATCCCTCGCCAACCCCTCTGAGCCAAAGAAGTAGGAGTTTTTTCTTTTCGAAATTTAAAACCCTTAATCATAACCCGGGGCAGGGTAGTCTTCTCAGTTGATCCAAGTGCACAATGAATGGCACCAAATGAGTTTTTCCAAAAAAACAAAAGACAGTGATGGCTCCGAACAATCATAAGGACAGGCAGTCATTATCAAAAAAATCATAAATGAAAAGCCCATTAAGTCAAAACCCATGAAGGAGACTTACAAAACTGGGGCATCCCGCTGACTGTAATTCCAAAAAAGGAAACAGTTCAGGCAAAAAAGAAAGGGATAACAAAAAATCAAAAGAAAGAGGTCTCACAAACCCTCAACAAAAAAAGGGAGATGACTGCCTATTCAAATAAATTGTCAACATCCGAACCATCACCGGAAAATCAGAGCAAAAAAACTCAAACAAAGTCTAACGTATGATCAACTGAGTTTAGGTTTGGAGAACATCATGAAGAGCGGGTGGGTACAAATAAAATTTGAGCCTTTATCCTTTGTTTCTTAAACCGTGAACCAGGCCATGATATAACCCTTAAAAGTCCTAGCTGAAGCATGGGTTAGTCCGAAAGCATACTGTTACGAAAGGTATCCTGACTCCTTAAGGCTTACGGTAAATGCGGAGTTGACATCACGTTTTAAAAACATTCACTTGTTTTATGAAAAAGAATGCATTTTTTTAAAAAAAAAATCCTCAAGACAGACATAAGCTTTGCATTTTTAACATAACTTTGTTTGCATATGACTTTTTGTTTGAACATCAGGGAAATTCGCACGATGAATACCTAGTGAACAAAAGCAATTCCAATCAAGGGGCAGACGTGATTATTGTCCATCATCTGGGGCAATTCAGTCAAGATTCGGAGAATCTCTCAAAGGCCAAATAGCCTGAGGCAAATCTCCGCCTAAGTCACTTGGGGTATTGGACAGGAATTCCAGCAACAAATCTTGCACGATCAGACATCTTCTGGTAATATGGCTACACAATGCTACTGACAGGGGCACCTCCCTACATTCTGAAAGCACGGACATAGTCGAAAAAATACTACGCAAAATCAAAGACCCGCTAGGTTGACACACCTAGGCAAAAATAAGGGCTTCCCGGCGAACCAAAAGGGCTCGGGCAAAATGAAGGGATGAAATGAAAAAATCTGTACACCCGGCAAGTCGAAAACCTGAAAAGGCGGCCTGAGCAAAAATGGGTATCCCGGTGGACTGAAAACCCGAAAGGGCGGTCCAGGCAAAAATTAGGGATCAAAGCGTACGACTATGTCTTGTCATCTTGTCACCTGCCTACCAGAAGAAGGTTTGCTCATCAACAACTATCAAGCACCTCCACAGGTATCTTCCGCTCCCACATCAGAAACAGGGGCAATAATGGATGGTCTAAGCGATCTGATTGTTCTATCCTCCAGGGTATCAAGGTAGGTTCCGTTGAAGAACATAACCAACACAGTTCAATACTTCCCCAGGAGAGTCCAATCTAGTCTCCCCAGGAAAGCTGGAATTCATATCCCCA